CGAGACGTTACATCCGAAAAGCATTTTAGATTACCAAAGTGATTACTTTGACTTTTAATGTAATTTCTTAATTTAATATTTAAGTAAACAGTTTGGGGATTTTAACCAATAAGGCAACTGATTCTCTGTTGAAAAAACAAAAACTGCGTGCAGCAGCCTGTTCATTTAGCAACTTGTAGTGAGAGTGCATACGCTCATCGTCACGACGCAACAGAAAGCCATTCGCATAATGCATTTCTCTCGTGGAAATACAAAGACTATTTTACTTATAAATCTGAAAAATGACGTAACATCTCAGTGCAGTGCAATCTATGCCCAAGTTACCTGCGACAAAACTTCTATCAGCATCGAAGGATTCAACGTCTAATCTGAAAAAGCATATTGAGGGAAGTTGTTATTTTTTCTATTTTCTCATATTTTGAGTGTTGAATGGTTATCATTATGTTTAATATTTCTAAGAATTTAATTGAAAAATTACAACGAATTCTCCTAGAATTCACACATTGCATTCAGTTAACAGATCCATACGAATCATGCATGAAATAAAAGTTTATAAAGTCAAACGATAGCTTTGTGTGCTTTACAGATGAACTTGAAGTCTTTGTTCATTCGAAATGTTCAAGAATAGATCACCTTTGGCGCGGTATTGCGAGTTCATGATCCGATTCGTGAACAGATGATTCTTTGGATTCAATCTTTTAAATTAATCATTTATTTTGTTTAATGAAACCAGTGTGGATGGTTCACATTAAACGGGATAGATCTGGGGTGTGTTTCCCAAAAGCATCGTTAGCGAACTGTGTTTGTTAAATTACATTGAACTATAACGACATTAAGTTACATGCGACCGTAGTTGCTTTGGGAAACAAGGCCCGTCAATATTGACTCAGCGATTCTTTTGTGCCGATCGCTTCTCCACAGAGAGGATTATCAGTGAAGTAATCACTTAAAGTTTGGTCCATTCATTAAACAAATCTATTGTATAACTTGGAGAACTGTGCCAGTTGTTTTGGCTACTTTTATGTTATGTTTGGTGTGTTTGGATTCGTTTTGAAGTTTGGAATGCGGCATGAAACAGCACGGAATCCCATTCATTGTATTCAATTTGAATTTATATTGATTGGTAGATTTAAACGACACAAATTTTTGTTGTTGTTCATAGAAATGCTGTGGAAAACTGATGTTGTTAAAAATAAAATGCAAGGAAAACGCAATTCTTATGACTGGTAGATGTCACTTTTATTTAGAGTTGGAAAATATAAAAACAAGACATTAATATGTTCCTTTGTGCATAGCTTAAGTATTTAAAAGTATTCTACAGTATTTAGATTAAGTTACTAAACCGGAGTAATCTAACGAAATACATTACTGATTACTTTTTAAAGCATGTATTTTGTAATCTGTAGTGAAATACATTTTAAAAGTACCTTCCCAGCCCTGTTTATACGTGCACCTCAATGTAATATAGCAATCAAAGCATGCGTTCATAAAGAACAACACTTTAATTGGTCATGTCAGCATGCTTCCCTTACAAAAATGTATAATGGACACCACAGTTTCTGCTAAAATACAATAGCGACTGCTTGCTAGGCTAATGACTGAAATTAGCCAAATTACCTTGCTAACACCTCAGCTAATACCTATTACCTTGTTAAGAAGAGTTGTTGAGAGACTTACTGGATGAGAAAAATAATCTGTTGAAACACTGATGGAATCAAGCCAAAATAATGACCACAAACAACACTCTAGCAACTACCCGGCAACCCCCTGACAACCACCAACAACAACCCTAGCAACCAACAACCCTAGCAACCATGCAGCAATGCTGACCAAACCCAAAACAGCTTACAAACAGAGTGACACATTTTCCTCAGACAATATAGTTGTTTCTACAGTAAAACTGTGTTCATGTGCTATTAGCTACTATCACATCAGCAAAACATGAAATTGTAATGACAATTTTATTGTAAATGTAACCTACATTTTTACAAAACTCCAAAAACATACCTATACATACAGTTTCCAGCTGAAATGAACACTAATGGCAGTAAAACACCAACAACTTTTATTCCTGTTGACACAAATTATGATTACAGGGCAGATTATCTATTAATAAATGTATTTTTGAGCAGTTTCTTGCATTGCATGTTATGACCTCAAAACAGTTTTACCATAGTGCATTATTTGTAATACATTTTGATGTTTGCATCACAAAACCAGCTACATATGCATTGTTTTTCCGACATAGTAAACTTGCTCGGCAGCCCACCTGCTACAGCACAGCACTTATGATGCGGAGCATCAGGTATGAATCTTGTGAAAAACTAAAATGGCATGGTTGCTTTATCAAATCCATTTTTACCCCAGGTTTGCTTTTGGTAACACTGTTGGTTAGGTTTAGGTTGGGTTTTAGTACAGGACAGGTGGTTCTTAATAAAAACACCTGTAATATAAAACGTAATAAATGTAATAAAAACACCTGTTTTGGATAAAATTGAACACTTTTTTTAGTGCCATTCACTGGATATTTCACTTTGAAATTGATGCAAAACGTGCAAGAAGCAATGTAATATCATTTTGCAGAAATGTCACCACAGGCACGCATTCCAATGAGCCTGGATTGGAATTTATTCTGATTTTACAGTAATAATAACTGTTGAAATTATAGTATTCTGGTGGAATACTAAGAGGTGTAACGTGTTGCTACCTGTAGCTGTGTATTCTCACTCATATTGTGTGAAGTTTAGACAGCATGGATGGGTTATTAGATCTTAATGTTGCGTTTGAAGTCCAGATGATTTGCTACATGTGCGCAGCTTGATGCTTGAAGAAACGCGCGTGAATCACTGACGCCTTTGGGCCATCCGCTGTTGAAATGCATTTGGAAACACGGAAAATAATGTCAACAAAGCAAATGTCAGCGAATGACATTTGTCATAGCAAAACCACAATGACCTGTGACCTCACGACCTTACATTACAAATCCCACCGCTAATAGATGTAAGAGACATGGGAACTGAAGCCACGCCAAACATCTCTGAGCATTAGCTGTACACACACACACACACACACACACACACACACACACACAAAAAAAAAGACTGACGCCTTTGGGCCATCCGCTGTTGAAATGCATTTGGAAACACGGAAAATAATGTCAACAAAGCAAATGTCAGCGAATGACATTTGTCATAGCAAAACCACAATGACCTGTGACCTCACGACCTTACATTACAAATCCCACCGCTAATAGATGTAAGAGACATGGGAACTGAAGCCACGCCAAACATCTCTGAGCATTAGCTGTACACACACGCGCGGGTCAAACTGGAAAGAAAGAAAAGAGATGCAGATAGCGGAAGTGTGCGGTGCTGGTGTGTTTGGTACAGGGCAGATAAAGCGTCCTCTTACCTTTGCTGTAAACCACACAGTTGTTCTTGTTGTCGTCTGTTCCCTGCCAAGTCACATCCAGCAGCCACCTGGGGCCTGCATTCAGCACCAGCGGGACGTGCAGCTTCATCTTCTGCAGTGGTGGAGATAACACACACACACACACACACACACACACACACACACACACATCATTAGTTTATTTGGGGACAATTTAGCAACAAGCTCATAAGCACGAGGAACTTTATGATTTTCAGCAGGGCACAACAATAAAGATTATATGTTTAATTCAGATTTTTTTTCTTACACTTCCAACACGGAGTATCGGTTTTGGGTCAGTTAATGACCCTTGAATTAACATGCATTGATCTTGTACATCATTTTTTTTTAATGAAATGCAAATGTTTTCTGTGATGTATTCTACAATGTTGTTGTAAATTCTGCTCATTTATCACCAAGATTACTATACATTTTCTGTTATTTATTAACTAATATTTAGTTTTGTTAAATGTCGAAAAATGAGTGATTGTCTTGAAAACATCAGTAAGAATGTGTTTAGCTGTATTATTTCCAGCTAGTTGCACACAATAAAAATAAAATAAAAACCTTACAATTTGAGGATGAAAAATAAAAACTGATCATTCTTTGATGGTGGGGAACTATAGATTTTATAAATATATTCTAGAGACATATTTTCTTATGTGTAAATGTCAGTATGTTCAATACATTTTTCAAAAATTAAATTTCAGCAAGGCTGAATTAAGAGATCGGAGTAATGGCTACTGAAAATTCACCTTTGCATCACATTAATAAATTACATGTTAAAATGAATTACAATGAAAAATAGTTATTTTAAATTGTAATAATATTAATGTTACTGTTTTCACTGTATTCTAGTTCAAAAACATGAAGCCTTGAGAGTATAAGACACTTCTTTCAAATCATTAAAAAAGGGGTCATATGATGCGATTTCAAGTTTTCCTTTCTCTTTGGAGTGTTACAAGCTGTTCGTGCGTGCGTGCGTCCGTGTGTGTGTGAGAGAGAGAGAGCGTGCGAGAGAGAGAGAGAGAGAGAGACAGCGTCACATCACAGTAGAGTCAGCTGTCTTAATCGCGGCTTGTGTACTGCATCATTACTGTGTCTGTTCCCCTTTCGGGCTTGAACTGATGGTAAAACTAATGACATTATTTACTGTCTTTACATTTATTTTGAAAGCTGAAGCTGCGATTATGGTAAGGGGCGTTACATTTCCGACGAGTGCTTGCGGTGTTCGGCCAATCACAATGCACTGGGTCAGCTGGCCAATCAGAGCAGACTGCGCTTGTCAAAGGAGGGGACTTCCGAACGAAGCGTTTGAGAGAGGCGGGGCATAGAGGACCTACAATAATGTACAGTATTTGAAAAATAATGTGTTTTTTGAACATTAAAGCATGTCAACATATTCTGTTACACCAAATACACAAAATAATGATCTTTAAAAAAGCTTACAGACCCTAAACTTTTGGTTTAAGTCACCATGATTTGCAATAACAACATTTAATACATCATAGAAATCCAAATATTTTACTGTACGTTTTTGCAAAGTGTACAAAAAAAAATGGCCATCATTATTGTTAAGACTTGGGAATAAAGGGAATGAACATAAAACTGAACCGTTTTAGAATAGACCAAAGAATAAGACAACCAGTCTGTCCTGTGGATGAGAAGAGGAGAATTCTGGGATATATATATGCACACATGATGAGAAGTGACACTGAAGCTCAGGCAGTTTCTAGAGTTTAATGGTGTGTTCAGTATCAATAACCTCTCCACTAGCCTAGCGTCCTCTCATTTAACTCTGGAGAGTGTGGAATTATCAGCCCGAATTTTTCCCAACGATCCAGTTTCTGATCTCTCCGATTACGGCCTGATCTCAGGTGCCTGGGAATAGCAAAAAGAATGCAGACGGCTTTCGGCGAGGAGAAGGCGAGCGTTCAGGACTGAACTTTGGCCACATTGTGCCTCCCTATCGCCACCATCTCACTATTTCCTGCGACGGGCCCAGAAGAATTTAAAGAATCAGTATCCATTTCAAAGGCCGATGGAGGTTACGTTTTTATAATGCTCCGGCAAATTATTCCGAATGTGTAACGTCATTTTTCTTTTCTGGCCGGGGTCGAAACGCGCTGCTTTAAGTTCTATCTATAAGGTGAAAGCAGTAAGATAGAGAAAAGCTACTAAAATGCACTCGCACCCTTTTTGTGGAGAAAGGGCCGCTGCTGCTGCCCGGCTGTTCTCTATGCCAATTTTTTTCTATTTCATTTTTCAAATGGCTTTTTTTAAAGGCCAATGAAAGCCTAGAGAACATCATCTCCTCACTCCGAGGCAGGATTGGTAGAGATCTTGGACAGCTGTTACAGTAGCCCATTACTGGCAGGCAAAATGTCTGTCTTTCTGGGCCATTAGACGTGACGCCCCAGGCACACCTTCATTAGAGTGCAGCAGAAATAGTTCAGCTAAGTGAAAATGGGCTGGAGTCCCTCTCAGGCGCCTCACGTGACATCATTTCCTTTCCCGAGGCCACATCCCCTGCAAGTGCTGAGCTATTGCGATTTGCTCCAGCAAAGTATGCATTTGTGACAGATAAAATGTCAGAAACACACTGTCAAACTATATGTGAGAAGGAAGTGTTGCTCAGTGGTTGCTCTTTCAAACGCTCATTTAAGCATCAACTTTGTTACAGATTATATTCTTTAGAAGAAATAACAGACAGCATATACAATTATACAATTATTGTGGGTGGCAAAGTTCAGATCATGAGAGAATTTAAAGAGAATCTACTGAGAAATATTTGCGTTAATAAATGAAGATCTCTCAAATTTGACTGCAGATTTGCTAAAAATAAAGGTTCCATGAAGAACCTTTAATGTTCCATTGCACAAAAGGTTCTTCATAGTGGAAAAAAGGTCCAAGAGATTATTAAAATGGTCTTCACACTATAAAAAGGGTAATTCAAGAACCTTGCACTCATGGCTCTTCTATGGCATTGCTGGGAAACCCCCCTTTCGAAACCTTTAAGGTCTTTGGACACTGAGTCCGAAATTCTCGGACGTTAAAAAATAAATACGACCTCACGTTGTGTCAATCACATTTACACACTGCCTCCGAAACTTTCGTCTGTCATAAAAAAAATTCGGATCAGGTTCGATTTTCTGTGTTTTTGCATCCATAGTAAGCATTTTGATAGGAAAGGATCACAAATACGAAAAAAAAATAAATGAAAAAACGCATACGAAAATTTCAGACTCGGTGCAAGGACCTTTACTCTTCAAAATAAAATGTCTTTATTGGTGTTGATGGTTCCATGAAGAACCTTTAACATCCATGGAAACTTTCCATTGCATAAAAAGTTGTTACAGTGGAAAAAGGTTCTTTAGATTATTAAAATGTTCTTCACACTAAGAAAAAAAAGTTATTTTAAGAACTTTTTACTGAAAGGTTCTTTATGGAACTCACAATGGTTCTTCTGTCATCGCTGCAAAAACCCCATTCTGGAAACTATATTTTTAAGAGTAGTATCTCACAATTTGAAACAGAGGGGAGAAACTCACAAAATAGTTACTTGTGAGATTACAAACATCATTTTCTCAACAGACGCAGGAATCTTGAGAAAAGTCTTAATTTGCTCTCCATTTAATTTAGAAGAAACAAATGACATATTAAAAGATTTTCATGATTTTTATCCATTTGCTGTCCATCTAATTTAGGAGAAACAATTGAGATGATTTCAAAATTCTTTCAGTAAAGCCTTGTCGTAAAGGGTGTTTTGACCCTCCCCTGGCAGTCTCACCCACCTGGATGTCTACGTGGCCGTCTTTCCCCACGCTGGCAGTGAGACAGAGAACCCTCGGACATTTAACACTGCTCCCATTTCACATCTCAAATTAGCCATACAATAACGCCTTATATCCAGGCTGACCTGAGAATTTTACAGGCCTGTCAAAGAGCACCGGAGACCGTCTGATTGTTGCCACGACAACTATCTAAAATGAGAATCGGATTAACCCTTTCTCTGATCCCCACCGTCTGGAATCATCTCTTATTCAGAAGCAAAGGTCTGCCTGGTCTGCCCAGTCTGTCTGTCGCTCTCTCACTCTCTCTCTCTCTCTCTCTCTCTCTCTCTCTTTCTTTTAAGGCCCACAAGTCTCTCTCTCTCTCTCTCTCTCTCTCTCTCTCTCTCTCTCTCTCTCTCTCTCTCTCTCTCTCTCTCTCTCTCTCTCTCTCTCTCTCTCTCTCTCTCTCTTTCTTTTAAGGCCCAGAAGCTCTCCAGCCAAAGCAGCTAATGATGCAATTCATGAAAAAATGGGCACACATGTGAATTGTTATATGCAGATGAGTATCATGTGATGCAAATCCTGCTATTCATCAATATTATATTCTGTATGCAGTAGGCAGATGTTTCAAAAGGTGTCTCAAAATATATGACATGACCTGCATGTTTAATTTAGTGTGGCTCTGTTATGGTTATTTTGTATTTTAATGCAATTTTGCGTAAAAATATCTTTGAGTATTATAGAAATATATACACTACTTATCAGAAGTTGAATAATTACAGTTTTTGTTATTGTTTTTGAAAGAAGTCTCTTATGCTCATCAAGGCTACATTTATTCGATCAAAGATACAGTCAAAACAGACATATTTTGAAATATTATTACAATTTAAATGAAACATTTTCTATTTGAATTGAATTTAAAATGTAATTTATTACTGTGATGCAAAGCTGAATTTTCAGCATCCTTATTCCAGTCTTCAGTGTCACATGATCCTTCAGAAATCATTCTAATATGCTGATTTGGTGTGTAATTATTATCAGTTATTTAAAAACAAAAAAAACCTTTAGTGCAACATTCCCAACAATTCCAAACTTTGCACAGTATGCATACTGTATACTATACTATTCTGAGTTGATCTCTCAGAGACCCTTGCATCACTTTGCATCGATTGAAACTGACCATTTGTTAAAAAAAATAATAGTATAATTGTGATTTTAGCACTAGAATGATTTTAAGACGTTCAAACATCAAAGACAGACTGCAAATCCACTGCAATATGTTTGACTGAACAATCCTCAAGGTTAATAGCATTAAGCAAAA